GCTGGGAAGAGCAGAGACCACCGACAACAGCCCCGCGCTCTCCCACACACGCTCACACTCGGCGCTTTCCTCTCCACCCCCACCTCCTCCTCCTTCCACCCCCTCCACTAACACCATCTCCTCCTCCTCCTCCTCCTCTCTGCAACAAGCCAAAAAAAAGCCATTTACAGGTCATTTTTTTTCATCCGCATATTTATTTACCCACCCCCCCATCCCCAACAGTTTGTTTACAAGTATTAAAGTTGTAATTGGGAGCTGCCAAGACACATCTGGATTTGTGTTTCTTTGTGTTAGGGGGTGAAGTGCAACTAATTAAAGGCAGACTGGCAGCGTCTGCAAATTCTAAGGCTCCCCAAATAAAAAGAGACTGGTAAGTGATTGTTCTTTCTCTTCCTCTGGCTTTTTCCCCCTCTCTCTTTCGCTCTTAAATGTTTGCTGTCCGGTGGGATTGTAAAAGTAGATTAATGCTGGACTTCAGCAATAAAAACCGGTGGCTGTATTAATTAATTAATTAATTTGCACCCGCCCCTCCTCCTGAATGTTAAATATGACCTTTGATCTCCGTGGCTCTGGTAGACCAGACATACAGTATTAGGCATGTACAGTCACATTGTTCAGAGGCAAAGCAAGATCATGAAGTATGGATGTTTAATTTAGCTTTAGTATTAGAACTATAGTTACTGGTGTGTGTTTTATTTTGTTGCTAAATAAAAGCCAAACAATAGCTGTGGCTTAGATACCTTTTTCATGCTCCAGGGATGCATTGATTAAGCAATAATGACCTGGATACTGGGCACAATCATTTTCTACAGTTTCTGGTGGCATTGAACCTAGAGGTGGGAAGGGGAGAGGTGGGGGCAATAAGAAGCAAGGACAGCTTGTTTGGAAACACCACACGAAGACTCTGAGAGGGGGTATTAAATTCTTTCTTTCTTTGGAACAAGGTCAAGAGACTGAAATGTTAAAATTTTCCCTCTACTCAGGGTGATGATGCCTATTGCATGGTTGGCATAACTAGTTTTTAGTGAGTAGCAGTTATTATGGTCTTGCATCTTCAATGTGACTCACAGAAACTGAAGCTGTGGGGCATATTCTTGCTGTTCCCCCCCAAACCCTTGCAAGTACCAAGAATATGTAGCAGGACGATTTGGGGGCACCTTTGTATTGTCATCAGACCTCTGAAGAAAGCAGTTTTCCTTAATGTGAAACTACAGAGGTGGTTCCTGAGTGATTAAGGACTTGCTGTGATTGAAGGATGCCTGCTGGCTTCTAATCCAGCCTTGGGGGAGGTTCCTTATCTTGATTTACTTTGCCTAATAGGGATTTGTTTACATGAACCCATTTTTTTTAGGGTGCCTCCTCAGTAGGTCTTGAAGTTTTCACACTTGGAGTTTGGACATAAATGGTTCATTAATCTAATTATAAGCATAATTACTATAATTGATACGCATTTGAAACCGAAAATTTGAGACAGACACTACTAGGCCTTCAGTTAAATTCCCTGAACTCCACCTTCTAGACCAATCTATAGGCTTCAGAAGATGCCAGAGAAAGGTACTCAGGCAAAAAACAACAACAACAACAACAACAACAAAAAAAAAACCAGGGAAACAAAGAAACTGGTGGTTTGTTTTCTTTTTCTTTTTTTTTAGGTGAATATACATTTTACATCTTTGCTTTAATTTTTAAAGGGCTGCAGGGTACCTCTTCCCCCTTTAGTAAGCAACCAAAATACATCTTCCTGAAGCTTAATGATGGCCTGTAAGCAGAGAGAGAAATGCAAATACCCAGTTAACATTAAACTTTCTTCTTAAAATATAGCAAAAGAGAAAAAAATCATCTTAATGGTTCTTTGGGTAAACAGCACCTGAAGGGAATCTCTCTCCCTTTCACTCTGCAAAAATCAGTGTTGGTGAAAGATTTTTTTTAAGGTCTCTTGCTTTCCTGTTTTCTTGGGAAGAGAGAGCAATCTCCATTAGAAATGATTGGGGCTATTCTTACAGGGGCAGCAGACAGTTCTGAGCCTGTGACATTGCTTGTATTTGAGATCTCTCTCTCTCATTCATATATATATATA